CCCGCAGCCGCTGCGGCACCGGTTCGATCCCCGGCTGCTCCCCGGCCACCAGAGGAGGGTCCCGCATGGCGCGCAGACCTCTCCTGCCGCCCGCTGCTCCCCTTAGCAGTGTACTTCGGTCCTTCTGCCTGCTCTGCTCCCCGCTCTGGCTCTGGTGAATTCTCTCACCCTCCCGCGCTTCTGACTGTACCCAGTGCATGTATAAACCAAACAAACAAACAAATAATAAATAAATAAGACATGCCTCTAGAAAATTAAAAAAAAAAAAAACATTTTGTAGTTTACTAAAAGCATTCATGTACCATGCCCACTGGATCTTTGCAGAAACGCGAGGAGGCAAAAAAAATTCCCCATCCTTTTTTTAATCCCTATTCTTGAGTGAGGAAACTAAGACTCAAAAAAGTATAATTTGAGGTTCACAGCAAGATGGAAACTCAGGGCTTCCACATTTGTTCTGTTGTGCTGTATTACCCTTTAGGGGGAAAAACTGACCTCACATCCCCTTACAAGGAAATGAAGGGCCAGTCTTCAGATAAGATGTGCCCCAATCAGATGCTGGGGTCTCCATATATCTCAGTGTGTCTGGTACCGCAACCTGCTGGATGAGTGCGTGTGCTCCCTGGTCCATGATGTAAACTTTGGAAGGGCTAGTTTGAATGCATCTTATCAGTGTCATAAGTCACAGGTGGGAGTCCTGTAGGGGACCCTCAGGGAGGTGCAGGTCTTCTAAAGGAGGCCCTCTGAGACCGTGGCTTCAGAGGGTGATGTGGCCCTCCATGGACATAGGTCACTGCAGACATGGGCTCCCGGTGTGATGAAGACAAAGAGGGTGAGACCTGTTGCTCAGTGCTAACTTCTCTGCTTATACACAAGTCCTCCAGTCCCTGGGCTGGCCTGGCCTGGCCTGCTGTAAGGCTGGACAGGGCACAGAGCAGGTTTTCTGATCCAGCAGACTGGGTAAAGGAGGAGTCAGAGCCCTCAGTGGCTTTTGCAACTTTCATTGGGATTTATCTGGTACACAGCAGGCAGGGGTACTGGTACTTGCCCAGCAAGTCTTCACTCTATCTGGGCTCTCCTGCCTTCTCGGCTTCTCTTTCGGCTTCTGCTGGCATCCCCGTGATGCCGCCCTTAAAAGCATAGTCTTAGCCCAGGTGAATCCCATCTACCTCTGCCCACACCCTATTCCAGGTGCCCGCCATCAGGCATGCATTCAGGACAAGGATCCATCATCTATCCTGATGGCAGGAGGGCAGAAAAGCCTGACATTTTTTCTTTACCCTACACCTGCTCACCACCCATCTCCCAACACAGGCATCCCAGGGACAGGCCAAGCTGACCTCTCTGTTTTCTTTCTCCCACGGGATCCTCACTTTTTGAGAGCTTATTCCCAAAAAGAGTTTTCAGAATCTGCTTTGGAAATTATAAAAAGCAAAATAACTCCTTGTCTTTCTATTCCTGCTTTAATAATTCTGGAGCAATGTGGATGCCTTGGAGCAATGTGGATGCCTATGGCTGGCTAGATGAGAGTTAGGTACAAAGACACATGGAGAGAAAGCGCAGACGTCAGGGTATTCTCTTTGTACACTTAGCCAGTGTAGGGTAAGGAAAAATGTCAGGCTTTTCTGCCCTCCCGCCATCAGGATAGATGATGGGTCCTTGCGGTCCTGAATGCATGCCTG